AAATGATCGAGTTGGCCCGAGGCCGACAGGTCCGAAGCTACGAGGCCCGGAACGGGAACGCAGGTCCACGACCCCAGTACAAATTGGGGGACATCGCGCAGGTGAGGAAATGTGCTCGCCAGGGTAAACTAGCGCCACGATTCTTCGGGCGATTCCGAGTGATTGAGCTCGGACCGACCGGCGTGAACACCGTATGGCTTGCGCCTGAGGTCTCCGGCAGCCGATCGGCTCGTCTGATCATCCGCCACGTGTCCTACCTTCGCCCCCTTCCTTCTTCCCCATCTTCGCCTTCATCTAATTCCTCCTCGACTGCGGAAGAGGACGACGACTGTTTATCGCCTGTCTCTCCGTCTCCTTCTCGTTCTCTTTCTGTTACTCCGTCCCCGTCGCCATCGCCATGGGTTTTCTTACGGAGCGAGCTCTAGGCGATCCTCTGCTGGTGCCACGGTGTTACATCTCAGCGATTCGACAAGTTCATCACCCGCGGCTCAACCCGGACCTTTGGCGACTTGCGCAGTTCTTTTGTACCCAGGGAGTGTACGCAGCCACTGAGTTTCGCTTTGCAGGCAGTCCCCGGGCGGTTGTTTTAGCAGAGGCGGTAGCAGTTCATCGGCGATCAGCTCCTGGAATCAGCCACGTGTCTACGGTCGTCGCCTTCAGTGGCGACATCAGCACCATCAGCCCGCTGCGGCATACGGCTATCAAGACAACGCTTCGGAGAAAATCTTTCACGCGCGCGCACAAGAGAGAGAGAGAGAGAGAGAGAGAGAGAGAGAGATGGCGGGGAATCCGCCGGGGATGAACAGAACCCCCTCTCTCGTACGGGCCGCGTGGTGGACCTGGTGGTTGATTCACACCGGTCCACCGGTCCACTCAGGCTGTGTGAGGGTTGCCTGGAAAATCACTGGTTCCCCAATTGATTGGGACGTTCAGTGCCCTTCAGGCTTGATGTCCCAAAGGATTGGGAAAGGCCAGTTATTTTTCACCTGATGTCCCATGTGAAGTGGACCGGACTAGTACCTGGGAAGGAACCGGTGACGAACCTGCCTAGTCTGCGTTATCTAAACACAGACCTTGTCCGAATCGCTGGCCCGTGTTCTAATTGCCTTTCTGAACGTGGGCCGCAGGAAACCTACCAATGCATGTTTTTTTTTGCCTATTTCAAACTATCATTGTGATGCAGACACAGTTCCCCCCCTTTTTTTTTTTTTTCCCTTGTTCAGTTATGGGGTGTCTGAACCCCCCCTCCCCAATTGCCGATGAGGCAGCAACATTCTTAGACTATGAATCCCCCAGAACCCTCCCCCCCGAACGTGTGGCAGGCCTTGACCTGCCGTAACCGGCCCGGTCATAACCCGGCCCCTCCGGGCATGGCCGGGAACCCCAGTCACGTCTGGCCCGGTGGCTGGTCAGGGGTACTCACAGACGATCACACAGTGGTAATCATGGTTCAGTCAGTACTGACTGGGTACTCTCTCTTGAAAGTTTGAAGTGAACTACCGTCCATACAAGTCTATTACAAGCTATCCTTCCAGTTGGACAGTCATGATGAGAGTGTCTTATGTGCTGGGGAGATCATACTAGTCTACAGTCATGGTGAGGATGTGTTATGTTCAGGAACTTCAGGGGAAGGTGAAAGTCTTCATGTGTGATGATTGCAATTCAATGGAACAGGGCGCAGAAGGAATCAACAGGAATGTTATGGCTCAACCTCTTAGGCTTTTAAGGGTCTGTTTACTTAACCCACCAGCTACATGACAAGAAAGTGCCAGTTCCATTCTGGCAGGAGTTGCTCGCCACCAATCGAATAGAGCGACCAGTAGTAGGCCTACTTGGGGTGTCGCCCGTAATACCCCGTATCACTCCCCCAGAGTCCCCCTAGTAGACGGAAACTGGTTTCAAATAAAAAAAAGGAGCAATGTTTTCGTTCTGTGAGTGCTATGAAAAGGTTTGGCATACAGGCTGTTGCACCTAAACACTTGAGGCGCCCGGTAGGCCGTCACCCCATAGCGACTCAGAAGTTCATGGGGAAGAAAAACTGCACACATGATGGTTTATGGCATACAAGAGCATTGAAGAGAGTTCGGGCCTGATTGGCTGTCAATGCCGGAACAGTTGGACAGCACCTCCTGAGCACACAATGAATCTCGACATGATTGGTTATTAGGCGGTGCCATAGGAAGCATTACCCGACGTAATACCCGTACTTAGCAAGAGCACTCTTGTTGTCAACGAGGGTAATAGGTCGTTCCTTTCCCCTAGCTTCGGTCAGTCATACAGGTGCATAATCCATGCATGCTATGCACATGTCATTACCCTTTTTTTTTTAATGCATTCTCATCAACTCTATCCTCAAGTTCCCTTAACCATTATGACAAATATGGACCATACGCATCAGCTTTCCCTGGTCACCAACTAGCACAAACCATCAACACAGATATTGTGCAAGCCATGTGCAATGACTTGCTGTTTCTGGTCGCCTGTAGCCTCTCTCTGTACCATAGGTAGGACAGATTCGTAATTTTGTTTGGCTGAGGGCTAACCGAGAGACCTACCTGTAGGGGAAATTCGTGAGCGACATATCTGCAAAATTGGGAAAATATAGGCCCAGCACTAACTGAATTTCCTACTGCTACCCTAACTGCGAATAGCAGGCCCGGGCTACCCCTAGGACAGAGGCCCTAAAGGCCTATGCTGATAGACGGTCCTATAGCCTAAGCCGGGTAAGGTAGAGGTCTAGAGGCCGAAACAGAAGCGGTACCGGTCACTCAGTCAGTCCAGTCTAGGTAGAGTCTAGGCTAGTTTAGTCTATAGATAGGATGGCCCTGATGGGCACATCGGTTCAGGGCTTTTGGCAGTTTGTACCGAGTACATCGCTGCTGTGCCATGCGTGAACCGGAAGTGGTGACGGCTCAGCATTGTGTGAGACAGACATAGCCAGACCTTCGGAGCACCGGCGCTGTACTCTGCCAGCATGCGGCGCTGTCAGAGGTCTGGGTTATCAAGGTCTGCTGGAGGCGAGAGAAGTTGGTGCCTGCTGGACCCTCCTCCGGAGTGAGGTTCCAGGGTTAAACTACATCCATAGCTGCAGCTTCTTCCTCAGAGGTCATCTTGTCAGGATTTGGTGGCGCTGCTGCAGACTTCCACCCGGGAAGTCTTTTGACACCTCATCATCATAGATACTGTGGCGCTGGTCTTCTTCTTCACCCTCTGAGTGGCGCTTGGACTCAGAGGCCTGTTTCAGAGTGGCGCTGCCCTCTGTAGGCAGTAATTGCGTGGCGCTTGATGTTTCAGGGACTCAGGGGTGTAACAAGTGGTTACTCAGGTTTGGGGAGTGAAGATGCTCATTTCTGAGCAGTGCACTGTAGGTCTGAAGTTAATTCTGACAATTCAAGAGTTTAATAAACAGTGTAATACTGGGTTTGGACTATCATGGTTTCATTGAGTGGAAGTGAATTGCACTTTCAGTGTACCCTGTCATATTGCATGGTCAAATCTTCCGCTGTCACGCTGTGTTTATCTCTCCCTGTGCGGTGTGATACTCCTATCCTCTCCCCTTCTGTGTATGTATGGGCATACCTGGGAGTTCATGTGAGTGAGTGTTGGTCTTCAGACAGCAGACAACCAGAATCATAACACATGCACATACCTGTCCTACTTTCTAATTCCCCTCCCCCTCCTTCCTCTCTGTAGCCCTGCCTCTTCCCTCTTCCTCCTCTCAATTTAACACTCGTCTCTATTTTTACCATAATTTTCTGTTCCTTTAGGCTGTTCTCAAAGTTAAATGCAATTGGACCCAGGCTGAGTTTAATCATCTTCAACTGCTGAGAACAACTACCTGTGGCCTTCACGGCCTGGGATCAAATCCCACTGCCAGCAGTTGAGCAAAACAAGTCAGAACCAAGATTCTGGGCCATCACGGTCTGGTTCATCACCTTGTAAGGTCTTCCCAACCTCAAAATGGATGGTCAACTTATAAGGTTGAAAAGAGGCTGCAGGAGGGCAAGCCGATGGAAGTGTGGGCAAGAAGTCGAGGACAAACATGTATTAGGAGGAGAGACAAACAAGAACTCTAGGAAATGGACAAAAGGCAGTTTAAACCAGGACGGAACAATAAGGAGTTCAGCAGCTCAAATGCAGGGTAGAGAATTCTTCATCCAAAAACTGCGGTACAAATTAGGAAATGAACTGAATTTCATACGATACACAAAACAGGGGCCATGAGGGAGCGTGAGGCCCACACGTGATATCAATTCGCAATGGGCACCAAAAGCACGAGGAGAGATTTTTGGGGTGCGGGGGATGTCAAGTACGCAAACTGGTGCTCACTTCTTTAGACTGTCTCGCATCGACAGGTTAAGCAATGCCTGAAGCAGCATGAGTACCTCAATCACCAATTTCACACACAAACCCTCTGGAGTCTGGTCTCTGGGCCTGACCAGTTTCCAAGCCAGAACTAACTCCCCGGTAATTCATTCCACAAGACCTTGAATCCGAATACACCCGTCAAAATTCTGCCAATCATCCAATCTGCAATTGCATAATTTGCATTATCTAAGTCACAGTGTCACTCGTCAACATGCATACAATTCCAGAATCCCATCTTCAATTGCATAATTTGCATTATGTAAGTCAGTGTCAATCAACAACATGCATACACTTTAGAAACCCAAAGAGAGAGAGAGAGAGAGAGAGAGAGAGAGAGAGAGAGAGAGAGAGAGAGAGAGAGAGAGAGAGAGAGAGAGAGAGAGAGAGAGAGTAGGGGGGGGGAGGGTGCATGTGCGTGTGTGTGATGGATGTGTGTCCCAACTTTTGTCCTCAGTTCTTTCCACCCGATCCTGTCCCTCACCATAACATTTCTCTCTCCAGCTCCCTCCCCTTTCACCCTCTTTACACCCTCCTGAGTAATTACACCACACTCTGTGCATACATGATCACACGCCTACCGATATGAAAACGAGAGGGAGACGTGAGATGTGCACACAAACAATTCAAGAGTATCCTTCACATTGCAATCGTTAAAAGTACAACATCCAACACTTGTCCCCATACAATCGGTACACACCCGTTCCACAAGATTTCTTCCCTTCCTCGTGGAGTACCCTTTCTTAGTCGTCCACATTCACAAGGTGTCTGTGGAATGCCCAAAAGGACCCAAAGAACACTCTGATCTCTATCCCTGTCCAGGCTGTCCTTCCAAATTCCTCAACCCTCCCCCTCCTCGCGCTCTCCCGTCCTCGTGCAGTAGCAGCAGTACCCTTTCTTAGTCCCCCTCCTCGCGCTCTCCCGTCCTCGTGCAGTAGCAGCAGTACCCTTTCTTAGTCCTCCACATTCACAAGGTGTCTGTGGAATGCCCGAAAGGCCCTGAAGGACACTCTGATCTCTCTCCCTAATAGTTCCTATCCCTCCAAATTCCTCGACCCTCCCTCTCCTCGCACTCTCTGGATATCACTAGATTCACTACACCATCCTCCCAAAGCTTCAACATTACTCACTATCACCCCAATTACAAATCTTTGTCCCTTCCCCACCAAATGACTTCCAAACCCCGATTACAAATATATGTCCCTCTTCCCCTCAGTGCCAGCATCTTTCAACAGAGGTAACGTCCTTTGTTTTACTTTCAATCAATGTGTCTGTTGTCCTCGGGGCAAACGATAACCTTGCCTGTCCCTTATTTCTTTTTCTATCTCAATAGCAGCACTGTGTCACTGTAGTAGTACAGACTCTACAGAGTCCTCAGCATCGTCCTCCTTTGTGCACGTAGGCGAGAAATGATACACTGATGGATACACATCTCCACTTCCAACCTGAGGGCTGCAAACCTTAGACATTCAGTCATATGAAAGTTCTTTCTACCAGTTCATCCCACTATGTAAGGCAAGGCTGCAAACATGCTCATCTTTGCCAATTCCGAACCATATGACTAAAATGCCTTCCAAACAATCAATCAAAAACAAGCGGTGGTAGTGAACTACTACGTAGGACCCAATCCTTCTGTCACGAAAAAGTGATCAGAAGCATCCCGTAAGATGCACGAACCCGTCTTTCATGAAGGTCAGATGCATCCTGTAAGATGCACACATAACCACTAATTTCACTTGAGGCACATACGAGGTCCTAGTAGGCGTCGCAAAGATTCCGGGCAGTATTGTGGATGGCATACGAAACAGCGGCAGCTGGGAGGAGCTTCATGTTGTTGGCGGCCAGTCCAGAGTACAGGGCTCCAGCTCCCTCTCTGCTGATTATATCCCTAAATGCGTCCATCATGCCCGAGTACGCCAGCCGCCCTGCTGCTGGGCCCATGGCTGCCTGAAC